TGTGCCTGTTTAAACATGGTGGTTTCCATTGGTTTGACAGTGGTTTTAATTTTTTGAAGTGACTTAGACACTGATTACTGTGTGGGTTAATCAGGTTTTGGTAAAACTAAATAAAAACAGACCTATAAAGTACGAGTACGACTTGCAATGATTAATTCAACCGTAGTGTGTAGCGCACTTTTATTTTAAATGTAAGAAAACTCAACTCCTGTACTGCACTTGACCAATACATTAATAATATTAAAGTATACATTTTGACAGCCCTAAAATAAACAGTTAATATATTTTTCCCATTTTACATGAAGTTGTTTTAAAAATCTTGGAAATACAATTTGGTACATTTTGTCAGTACTTCATGTGTTATCACAGGAGGGCATATCAGGAATAAACAGACCCGAGGGATGAAGTCACGACACACGTTACTTTTTTAGTGTATGTTGTTGCATGGATACAACTGACATAACTGACAAAAAAAAAAAAAAACATTAATGAACAAAATAGAAAAACAAGGTAATTCGCTGATAAAAACTCACTGTAGTTTCCCTTTGATCAAACTCACTTCTACTCCAGTTGTTTTTATGTTCTATTTTATCAATGCCAGAGTATTTGCTGGATTACATCACTGGATATTCTTGGAGTAGTTGCGCACACACATCATCATCCACTAACTACTGCAGTGGTCTTTGTTCTCTACTCATTAGAGAGTCCACAAAAACAAACAGTATTCTCCCATATTATCAGTCCAGACTGAAACAGAAGATTATGGATTACTCGATCCCTAATATGGCCACAGCCATCGATGCCTGCCGAGATTTGCTCCAGCTGAGGCGGCACACCTGGGTCAAGAGACACAGGCACATTATTTATGATTGCAGCAGCTTAACACCACAGGGCACCGCTTAGGGGTGAGTTTAACCCTCTTGTTAATGGGGCTCTCTGCTAGGAGGCTAAATATACCGGTAAGAAGTCAGTTGCACGCTGGGAGCTGAGATTGTCAAAGAGACAGTCAGAGGCTGCTTACAGTGCGAGATAAGCTTCAGCACCTTGCTACCGTTCTGTAGTAATGGGTGGTACTGGCTGACCAGTCCTTGGAACAGAAAAGGTCAGGGACCACTGGTATAGATGTAACTATGTACTCCATAACAGAAACTAATACATGTTTCTGCAATTGATTATTATTTATTTAAGGAATATAAAAACATATTTGTCAGGTTAAGAAACTCTGCTGCATGGACTTTACTAAATGCTTTACCAAGCTACCGTGGGCCACCGGTGTGAGGGCTGTCTGTGTTTTCCTTTCCTGTCTTGTCTGCTGGGTGGCGTTAGTGTGATCACACTCACCTGTATCTCTGTGGTTAGTCTCACTCATGTCACCTGGTGCCCTGGGTATATATACCTCCCTCCCTCACTCTGTGTGTGATCATTGTTCTGTAGCTGTTGTAAGGAGTCTGTTCAGGCCATGCGCTGCCTGTGTTTGGTGTATTATTCCAAAGAGACATTGTTGTTGCTCATCCACGCTGTTGGAAGAACCTGCCCACAATCAATGCTACATTTCTGTGTGTTGTTGTTGTTGCTCACCTGTAAGTAAATCACCTGCTGCACCTGAAGAGAGTCTCCCTAGGAACACCCAGGCCTTGAGTTTGACACATGTGGGTTAGGCTGATGGGACACCATAAACTGAACTTAGGTGTGAATATTAGTGTGAATGAAGGAGAACAAGGCATTCTTTGATGGAAAAAATGTCAAGGAGTTTGTTGAGTCAAAGACATTCCTACACAAAAAAACAAAATGTAGCAGTAAAGACACAAGAACACAGTTGTGTTCTACTCTGTTTTTCATCTGATATGTTGTTTTTCTACCTCTGCCTGAGTTCATGCGTCTGGTGAGCCAATTACTTACCAAAAATATTTGATGTGTCACTGTGTTTAATCTAATGAGACATAACGTCTCATTAACGTAACTGAATCGGTCAGTTTGGGTGTTTCTGGGGGTTTTGGGAGGAGTTAGGCAGTGTCTAATCATGAAAAAGGGCATTTTCTAATAAAATGTTGGTTTGGAATCTACTGCAAGACATGTTTCACAATGACACATGTCTGTGAATTCCACAAACGGCTGACATTCTCATCTGGTGACTTATCAGTGTTTACTCTGAACTCTGAGTAAACACTGATAACACCAGCTGAAGGACAACCGCACAAATGAGTTTGACTTTCATTTTTTTTTCACATTAATAGCTTACCAGGTTTCACGACTAGTGTGATGCAGTGGTAGAACCCTCATCTTCCACCTGGTGGACCTGAGATCCATACCATCTAGACCTCAAATCCAGGTCTAGTTTTGTTGGGAAAAAATCCAGTGTAAAAACTGTGGTAAGCCTTGGTGAAAGGACGATGTCAGAGTGATTCTTCTTCTTCTTATCATTTTCTCGTATTTTTGTCTTTAAAACTTTTCAAGGACTTTGATGATGCAGACATCCCAACAATGGATCTGCTGGAGATCACTTCATGTTAAAAAAGAGTTTTTCCCCCCTGCTGTCATCAAAGTGTTCACTCAGTCTGTGATCTTTGGAAACATTTTTAAAAGGCATTCTGCTCAATTTTTGTTTCAATCAATTTGTCTCTACAAGAAACCCCAGAACCTAGCTGTATTTACTGGTTATCGTACATAAGCAGACTCCCACATTTAACCCATTCTTGGGGGGCAACAGGCCTTTTCAGAAGAGCAAAGGGTTTTTGGTGATCTTTGAACACCCCACCACACCACCTGGGTTTTCAAACCAGAGATTATGTAATAACAATTAACCGTATACAGACGAGCTGCTCTGAGTGACATGCAAAATTAATTTGGCTGCACAACCTGGGGCGCTGTGCTGGCTGAAAGCAAAGAACCAGGAAGCAGCGTCAGTGTTGGCCATTGAGGACAGAGTGACGAGAGACATGCTTGCACAGAAATGTAATCCGCCTGCATTCACTCACAATACGCAGAGAAGCAGGATGACTGATGTGTTTCTTATTCAATTCTGAGGTTTTCAAGGACACAAATTGTATGTATTGTGTTAATGAATATATGAATGTGAGTCGCTGAATTAAAAATTGGTTAATAATAAATAAGTCTTCCTCACAGAAGACTCTTCTCACCATCTGATACTGTGGCTGCCTTTTAAACTCAAGTGTATAAATGACAACCACAGCAGAGAAATCTGAGCTGGAGGTGAAGAAGATGAAGATGTTGAGATCTTCACTGACTGTGACCAGGATGGACAGGATCAGACGAGATCAGATCAGAAATGAGGCGGAGATGTTGGACAGAGGATGTTGGAGACGGAGCTGCCGGGGGGGCGGGGGGGGGACAAAGGAAGACCTCAGAGAAGATTTATGGATGTAGTTACAGCAGGGATGGAGACGGTTGGTGTTAAAGGAGGCAGGAGTTGGTGTGAGATGGAGGCAGATAATTCTGTCGCCTTGGAATCTCCCACAGAAATTTACACTTCCACTGTTTGCATGGGTGCAAACGTTTATTTATGACTTGCCTTTAATCACAAGAAAGAGTTCTGACGTTCCCAAAGTTCTTCACGATTTCTGAAGTGAGGGAGAGAAGCTCGACTTTCACCTCTGAGGTAAACAAACCCTGTAACCTGGTACGACTTCGCCATTCCCTCACCTTCATCAACTTGATGTGTATTCCTCTGTCATCATTTAGGAATTATCATCTGTTGGTTTTAATTGTGTTTTTCTCACATATGTCCCATTTACATAGAGCAGAGCTGCAATATCTTCGAGATAGGATTAGAAGAACCGTTCTTCCCAACAAACAGGTTATTCAGCTCAAAATCCCATCATCAACTCCCAGCATGTGTTCGTGGGGGCTTCAACCTCTGGTCAGCGGCCCGGCATGTGTCAGAGAAGACTGACTGAGCTCAGGACAGTCAGTCTACGACTGACAGGCTGACAGTCACAACAGTCAAATGGATTGTTCAGGACTGATTAATATTGTTTAGGACAACAACTGGACTGGAGTTCAGAAAGAAACTCTCCACACATTCTATGATTAATCATGATTAATCCACAGCCAATAAACAGACAAAACAACAGCTTCACAGTCAGAGTACATTGAGAAAACAAACACATCACGACCAGAGAATAATGACTGAATCCAAATTCTTTCTTTTGAAGATTAAATCCGGTTTCCTCCTCTGCCTCCAGAGTCGGGCAATAATGGTTTCAGGCAGCATCCTGTGAACAAGTAGATCAGTGCAGCTCCAGTTTCCATGCATCCCATTTGGATTTAACAAGGTGTTGCTGTCGTTGTAAATGAGAGAAGCAGAAGCCGACAGTTCTCGACTCGGTCTGCAGGGGAATGAGTGATAATCAGGGAGAACTGCTGCAAATAAAATCATCCCAGAACAGAGAGCTCACTCTGTTTGTGCATATTCATTTTGGGAGGATCCAGTCAATGCTGTGATCTGTCATTTAATTTCCTGAAGCACTGTCTGTTTGGCACCTCTGTCAGAAATGACATGTAACACTGACAATTTAATTCACAGTTGGCAGTAGTGTTAAAAATCAAATAAAAGCAGTCACAACAGTCACATTTAAAGAGAAGACCCTTTTTTTGTCTATTTTAACTGACTTTAACCCATGTCTCATGGAAATGCATGGTTTATGACACTTAAAATCCTGGGTCCACATTACCACAAATCTCCTTCTTTTTAAGAACTCAATTTCTTTTACCAGAACCACTTCACTTATTCACACTGCTTTACTGTTAAGACCGGTAGATGTGGCTCATAATTTAGTACTAATAGACACGCAAGGGAAATTGTACATTTGACACATTTGAGATGGGATCCTGAACCTATTGCAAGAGGGTGCTGGTTCAAATCCAGGGAAAACTCCTTTGACTAACTGTTTCCGGTTGAAGTCCAGAGTGAACTAGGGCTAACCTGGATAGCTTGAGACACTGTCCAATACCAAACTACTAACAAATCACCAGCAAACAAACAAGATTTGAGGTTGTATTTAAAAAAACAAACAAAAATAAATAAATAAAACAGTCACTGGAAGTCTAGTCGAGTGACATTCAGGCAGGTTTCCAGCAGCAGGTGAGTCCAGCATCTTATGTTCAGAGCATCAGTAGGTTAGCAGTCAATCTCATGCACACTTTATATAACACACATTAACCAAAGACAAGAAGAGAGAGAAAAAAACGGTAGCAGTGAAACAGGCAGGATGACCCCGGGGTCAAATTCATCTCCTCACTCAATTAAAGGAACTGATTGTATCTGTGTTAATTACTGGTGTTTATCTTTCAAAAATGGACCAAAATATACAGAGAAAAAGAATGTCCAACTTTCATGAAATAAAACTTTGACACATTAACAACCGCGCTGTGAGCACAGAAGATAAACAGAGTGAAGACTAAGCTCATTTCAACAGCACACTGAATATTTCCCACATCTCACTTGAATCTACTTTTTAATCCCCACTGAAAATGGAGATGGTGTTGCAGCCACTGCACTGACTGTTTTCAGGCCACTGTAATACTTTCATGAAGAACACTTTACCAAAACTCAATTCACACGGATAATTCCTATTCCAGGAGAAGTTGTACGATTTCCCAGTTGCCACAGCTCTGAGCCACAGACAGAGCTGTGAATCCAGTGGAATCCTCCCGTCTCTTGTCCGCTCCATTGAGCAGCAACGCTTTTACGATGGGCGCACAGCCGTGCCGTGCAGCTATGTGTAAAGGTGTGGCCTTGCCCAGGTTTACTGCATTGACGTCAGCCTTGTGCGTTATCAAATGAAGAACACACGGTAAACTCACACTCATGCAGGCGACGTGTAAAGGTGTCCATCCCTCGCTCTCCTCACTAATGTTGGGGTCAGCTCTGGCTGCCAGAAGTTTTTCAACCACCTCTGGTTTGTTCTGGTAGCAGGCCAGATGGAGTGGTGTCCATCCGTTCTCACCTGCAGTGTTCACAGAACCACCTTGCTTCTCCAGCTGAGCCACGGTGCCTTCATGACCCCTCAGGGCAGCCAGGTGCATTGCGGTCCACCCTTGGAGAGTCCGAGACTCTGGGTCTGATCCCGCGGACAGCAGCTGTCTGCATATGCCTGTATGGCTCTTCAGGGCAGACAGGTGAAGTGCAGTGAGTCCCCTGCTGTCTGCACTGTTGGTACTCGCGCCGCTCTTCACCAACTGCCTCACCACTCTGAAATGGCCTTCCTCAGCTGACAAGTGAAGAGGAGTGCAGAGCGAGTGGTCGCTAACATTGGCATCTGCTCCCTGGGAGAGGAGCAACTTCACAATATTTAGATGTCCGTAAGAAGAAGCCAGGTGAAGTGCTGTCCTCCCCCGTGTTTCCTCCTGCTCCCCCAAAGCTTCCTGTGACAGCCGTGTAAGCAGCAGACGCACCGCTGATTCATGGCCGTTCTGGCAGGCCAGATGGAGTGGCGTCCAGCCGCTCTTTTCCCGGGCATCAGCCACAGCGCCGTTGTCCAGAAGGAGGCGCAGAGTCCTGTCATCTCCATTCTGAGCAGCAAAATGTATCGGTGTCCACTCGTCTTCGTCCCCCTGAGTGACCAAGGCACCGTGTTCCATTAGTAGGGAGACGATGTCATGGAGCCTAGGAGACAAACATTCAAAACTGTTCACTTTTGTTATCATTATTATTATTATTATTATTATTATTATTATTATTATTATTTCTCACAAAAAGGATGACTGGAATGTTCTAACCCTAACTCAGAAGAAAAAATCCCATAATACACTTTGTCATACTGCATATACAGTACATATGTGTATAAATGTCTGTTTGTGTGTAAATATATATGTACAGTATGCACACATATGAATAGACATATATATAGAAGTAATATGCATACCTATTTATCTATATCTTTGTCTATATAAATATATAGAACCATTTCCCCTAAATGTCACCCTAAAAATGACCTCACGACCTACTGCACACACAAATCTCCCCATGTCACACTCCATGTGTCATTTCTTACAGACCTGTGCAGAACAGCAATAATTAGAGGCGTGTAACCTCTGGCCGTCATGCAGTTGACGTCAGCACCCAGACTCAGGACGTGCTCCACACTCTGTATATCACCACTGGCCACGGTGAAGTGAAGGAGGCGCTTTTTCCCTGAGAACTCTTTGTACACGTGTTCCTTCCTCAGAGACTGTCTGAAACTACCAAAGTCCTTCCTGGACAAAAGGCCGAGGATGTTGTCCTTGGTCTGGTCAGCTGTGGAAAAAAAAAGAGACAACGCCAAATGGGACAATGAATTTAAAATTGAAGGAAAAAAAACCCTTTTTTAAATCAGATTTTCTTTATTTTACGTCAGCCTTCTGGTTTACTCTATGTGGATCCATTTGCTTGTTTGCACAATGAAACTTTCAGGGACCCATGCTGCTCAATCAATACCAGTTTCTTTAGTGAAAAGTTTTCCTTGTACATTAATGTCTGAAAAAGAAGAAGAATCGATGGGTTTGTTCAAAGAGGAACAGAGAGATGCTAACAACAACTCCAAAGATAAATACTTTGAGGAGCGGCATGATCACTCAAAGGGGAAAAAATAAGTCCTATTACTGGAGGTGGGCGGCGACTATTTATGGTCACGATAAAATTTAAAAGTATGTAGTGCAAATAACAGTTGAAAATATTTACCCTTCTGCATGGTATTGAATAGAAATAGAGAGAGAGAGAGAGAGAGAGCTGTCTGTTTACCTGAGAGACCGCTAGACATCTGAGGAAAAACAATCTGAAAAAGGAAATAGTCAAAGGAAAATCATCTTAATCAGTGATTAGCACATTTATTAATCAATAATGTGAGAAAAGGTCATGGATAGTAAAAGAGAACCAAGTCAAACATACTTTATGAATTGGTGGAACCAGCAAGGAGTAATCAGGTGCCAGATGCTTATCGACGATTTTGGGACAGTGGACTGGACCTGGGATCTTCAGGACCTCGTTCAAAGCCTCCGTCTTCATCACAGTCTCTGGAAACCACACAACAAACTACAGATCTGAACCTGCCCCTGTCCAATGAATCCAAATCCCGCATGTACAAGTCAGAACGCACAAAGTGGTCGTCAGAGGCCGATCACACTAGTGAATGAGGAGCAGCTGTGCATCAGGCACCGTTTTCAGTGGATGCAAGTTTAATTAGTGGTGGATTGTTATTAATGTAATGTGATTAATGGGGGCGGGGGACGGCAGGACAGGTACACACTGACATAACAGTAATGTGTTTGCAAGAGAATGACCTTCATATGTCAGTGGTTGTTCAAACAACTGAAGCACTTCACATCAGTGTCCTCATCCAGCAGCTGCTTTATTACAGTCACGCCCACAGTCAGACCCACGGTGTGTTTTTTTTGCTGAGTATTTATCCCAGGATTCATTCATCCATGCAGATGTGCTACATGTGTTCAATATCAACATCGTCCTTTGATCATGTCACATCTTTACAGAAGAGAACAGCTCTGCAGCCGTGTCGTTCACTAAGTCGTTCTGTTCGTAACGCCGTGAATGATGAAGGATGAATGATGAAAAATCCATACCTGCAAAGTGTGGCCTTTTCCTGTGATCCTGATCCCAGCACTGCTGCATGATGCCGATCAGAGGCCCGCACTCAGGGGGCTTCTCATCAGGCAACATCTCCATACTGGGTCTCTTCCCATGTGACACCTGCAGGATCACCGTAGTCACACTGCATCCTGGTTCAACACAGGAAAGGATCTGAACTTGTCATTTACTTCTTCACACTCTTCTACATTTTTGTTCCAGCCTGAAATACAGGCCGGGCCACGGCACATCTGAGAATGCAGTTCACATGTATCACGCCAAGTGACTGCAGCGAACAGACAAACTGACATCACTCAAGAGGTTGAACTATGACTTGATCTATTGCGGAAACTAGGCCAATAAATCTATTTAATGAGACAGGGATGTCATAAATTCCAAACCAACCTGGATATGGTTTCTGCTGTGTCAGAATTTCCCACATCACAATGGCAAAGCTGAAGATCGAAGCAGTGAGAAGAATGTCAGATTTCATTTTCAAACTCAAATTTCCTTGAAAGGGCAATAAAAACAGTGGGTCATTGCAATTTATGGAATATGACCTGTTTTTCAACAGCATAGAAAACAATATATAACCTGAAGGTCAAGGCTGCAGGTTAATAACAGTGAGTGGTGGCTACTGACCTGGAACAGAAGAAAAATCTGCAGTTGTCTTATGGTGCAATATTGAAAATGGCCTTGAAGTCACCTGTAAACATCCAAGGGTGTTCCAGGAGCATCAGAAGACTGGGTGAACAACTCTGGAGGAATGTAATTTATGTTTCCTCTGGCCGTCAAATGCTCCAGTAACGTCTTCTTGCTTGTGCCCTCCTCCCAGTGGATCAAACCAAAATCTGAAATCTTCATCAGGAAAGAGGATTTTATCAATACACAAATTCTACAGCTCAGAAACGTCGGGAGGTTAACTGACCCTGACGTGGAGATGATCATCCAACAGGATGTTGGACGTCTTGAGGTTGAGGTGGAGCAGTGGGGGCTTCATGGTGTGGAGGAAATTCATGCCCATGGATGTCTCGTAAATCATCTGGAACTTCTTTGGCCACATCAACGTGTGACTGGACAGAAGATTGTTCAGTGACCCTTGACTCATGTGCTCCATCACCACGGCAGACGCCTCGCTGCAAAGTCCGTACATGGATAAAATGTACTTGAATTTCACTTTGGAAATGACGGACGCCGCTTCTACTATTCTCCTGTGGCAGAAGGGAGAAAAAAGACTTTGGTCAATAACACTTGGACATACCAAAAAAAAAGAGAGAATTTTGTTCAGAGCCGTCTACCAAATGTGCCCAATTTCTTGTGAGTAACATCTGTCAGACGGTTCTGTTTTTGAGACTGCCTGCTGTTGCATGGTTGTAGACACCGACAGACTCAATAAACTCAATAAATGTCACTAATCCGCAAGGCTAGTGACGATGTGCGTGTGGAATTAGGCTCTCTGACGACAGCGTTGGAGAGAAGAATGGTGTCAAAGATCACGTCTCTCTTCGCCAGTGATTCACATCCACTCCTTGAGATGCTGCTTAGAAACAGGAGCGCCTTCAGCCAGGAAATAGTTTCCATTTCTTCATATTGCACCATATGGTCAACATGTTGCAATACTTGACTTTTTTTCTGGTCATACATACACTGGTCAACAATCTGATTTAACATCCAATATATTCATTTCATTTTAATTATTTATGTATATCATTTTGTTGTTTTACAGGGGATACTGCTACAACTCAAATCTCACTAGTATTACACAGTACTGTTTGTGTTTATATTTTACTGCATTATTCAAATTTAAAATGTGCAATACATTGCTCAAGCCTAATAAACCTACTAATTTCCCATTGACACCTAATGCTTTGATTATAATCATATTTTTTTTGTATTTAAAAAATTAGGTTTTTAACAAAATATTGATACACTGAAATCTCGCGATATTTTGTTTCAGGATACCGCATCGATATTCTACAGCACTGTATTAACTTTATTAATAATTAACATTCAAGTATTCCTGGCATCAGCATTGTGTGTTTACTATGTTGACAGTATTTCTTCAATTCAATTGTAAAAAAAACCCTCAATATAGCGTCGTGCCTATAGTATCACAGTATATCATGTTATATTGCATTACATACAGTATACACACCCATATTAATTATTCTCATTACCTGTAAATATTGGTTCCATACAAGGTTGTGTCGAAGCACTTGAGGACACATTTTTCCCGCCAGAGTTTGAGCTTGACCTGGTAAAGCTGACCAAATGTGCATTCGGCGAGTTTGATCCAGTTCACTTCAAAGTCACCCTTCTTGAAATCCCTGAACTCCCCAGGGCTCCTGTTGCAGGACTCCATGAGTACAGAGGCTTAAAACTGGCCACCAACAACACTGTGGCTCCAATCCTACATATAAACAGGACTCGTCCCTGGGATCGGCATTGATTACTGACAGCGCATGAAGGTAAAGCGAAAGTTGCAGCAATGCGGACATGGACTTCAGTGTGTGTTTCAGGCATGAGCAGTCGATGCACGCAGGGCTAGAGCTGACAGTGGGAGGATCTGACCCACTTGACTTGTTTACACAGAAATGTAGAGAAACTGGTTTTTTACTGCCGTGACTGATGACCTAGCTTCCACTCATGTCAGAGTATGCTGCTTTTCAACATTCTCAGAATTCAGAGTATGCTCAGAGTATCAGCTATGATCTCTGATATGAGAAATATGTTTGTCGTGATTTCCTTCTCGCTTTACAGAAAATAATGAACCAGATGCTTCCATGAAATTGTACTTTAACAAGGCAGTTAACCCCCTGGAGCTCCTGTGAAAAAGCAGTGTGGTCGGCATTATGGCACTGTTTGTGTGAGTGTGTGTGATAAAGGCCACAGACCATAACTGTCATTGTCACCCTCATGTGATGTCACAGCAGCGGACAGGATCTGATTGTTGATTTGAGATCAGCTGCCAGTAGCTGTGGCTGATACATTTCTCTATCTATCTATCTATCTATCCATCTATCCATCCATCCATCAATCCATCAATCTATCTATCAAAAAACAAATATTTGGGGACACTTTACCAACATCATTGCTCAGACTGTCTAATACCACAGTAGGCTCTCTTCTTACCATTGTCGTTCCACCCATTTGAATATCACTGCAAGTGGAACTGATTCCAAAAGCACAGTAACAGTACAACTTTTGACCCTCTTGTTGCCTAGTTTTATTTCTAGAACATACCCCGCAGGCACCTCACATTGGTGACCTTTCATCTAGGCGGTGTAGAGTCTGAGGGGACATGACCTCAGTAACATGCTGACCACAAGGAGGCACTCATTGCTACGACAGCACTCACCAAATGGACTACAATGTTGACACTAACAGCAACAACCACATGAAACCATGCATGTCCGCACACACCGCATTGATTGTAGCTCTGACGTCACCGGCCACAAAGACTGATCACACCGACCGCAACGACTGACCACACAGATCACATGAACTGCATCAATACTAATACCATTATCATTAGTAGCTCTTTTTAAATAACTCTCAAATGAGCTGTGCTGCTTTACATCACATTCACTGGACCAACACTGATCCCAGAACAATCTGTTTACATTGACGTCACTCTCTTCTTTCAGTTCTTTTCCATCATGGACCTTCTCTGGGGGAGGGGAGTGGGGGGGTAGAGGACGGGATATACTGTCATATACAGTCATTTTATCAGGAATGTTATGCAGTTAAATGACTGTTTTCTTCTCCAATTCTTAGCGCCCCCTAAATGGACAGTGCCCACAGCATTGGCCTCAGGCTGCTTGAGCCCCAGGTGTAGACTCATGGACCCGTACAAACACAAACACACGCAGAGCGACTGCCATTGCTGTTTTGGAAAAACACATTTGTATCCACCACTAGGGGGAGCACAGGTTCCAGCAGTGGCATGCATGCCATAGTTTGAGAACCACCACTCTATGTCAAACTCCTATTTGGTAAAGAATGTGGCCTAACTCTGAAGTTTATCTAAGAAGTAAAAATGGATATTTTATGAAGTACTTGATAGTGCGTGTGACCGATCGTAACTTAACCATAGTAACAAAGACAGCTCTGTTTTTATAAAACAGCGGCGTATTTCAGATGAATATTCACTTTGATTAACCTTTGCAGAAGTGTGATGCAGATTGTCACTGGTCCTCGCTGCACATAAAGTTTGCTTTGACAGACTTTTGCCGTTTCTGCTGAAAAAGCAGCTGCTGCACTTTTCAAAGTAGCGAGATTTTAACGTGTGATTTCTTCCGTCTGCCATTAAAGCAGGAAAGACTTTAACTGCTGGGCTTTTTGTGGGAGGATTACCGTAATAAGACTTAATTCAGGAGATGGTTACAGAGAGATGTCTTCTAACACTTTAACACTTCCTCTTTAATCCCACCTGCTGTTCTGGTCTGGTCTGTTCTGTTCTCATGGAAACGTCACTTTTGTTTTACCAACACTCAAAGCCTTTACTACTGAGTTCACCTGGAGATGTGACCGCTGTGATGTTATAGAAGGGAACAACCTGAGATACACTGTACATAGTCCTACACACCCATAGGTACTGTACACCCACAAAAGTGTAAGATCATTTTTGGACTCGGCATCATATAAATTGCTCCTGTGGGCCACTGGTAGCTTTGCCGGTCGTATAAATATCTGGGCCATCTCCCTAGGGTTTCTTTACTCCTCGCACGTAGCACATTTAGATGCAATGTAGTTCGTGCTGTGAGCATGATGCAAATATTCACTGTAAACTCTCACCCAGCAGCTCTCTGCTCACTCCTCACTGGCTTCATTTGTCTCCACAGTTAGTGCAGATGTGCCTGTGCAAGACTTCAGGTTTTGTTTTATCAGACGGCAGACACAGGTCAAGAGTTTGCTGTCACTGGTTTTAGCCTTCTCTTCAGGTTCGAGGTCACACGTAATGATATTTATTATTATGGATTTCTCCTCCCCTCCTGCTCCTTTTAATCGGCTGTCTCACCCGGGACGTCTAGAGGAACGGAGGGCGCTGCGTTGCTCTGAGATGATTTGCATTTAGATATGTCATTTGGCCTCCGTGTCTGTCCAAATCAAGGAGAAACATAAACAGCCATCAGTGGGAAACTTCTATTGATTTTTAAAAAATAATCAACTTACAGCAGACTTTTACACAAGGGGAATTTCAAGTGCGCTGTTATTTCAAAACAATACAAAAAAAATCTCCAACCATCACAGGTGTCAATCTGTGATTTCTCTACCTGTACTACATGTTCCCATTGAATCAGATCAGCCTCTGATTCAGATGGAAAGTCACCTGACATGTGCCTGTTTGAGTAGAATCCAACTCTGGTGTTTCATTTAGATTTTCTGTCCAAACAGAACAAAGTCTTCTTCTCTATGTGAATAGTTGTTAACTTTAAAAACAACATTCTCCCAGCAGCCAATCTCTGTCTCTGAGTTTGGTTAATCTAATGTTCACTGATAGAAAACCTCAGCTCCATCCTTCAGTGATACACACCATGATACACAAAGTACTTTTGGATACATGTTGCAGTGAAAACCAGACCCCGATGGAGCCCTGAGGTGGGCAGTCTGTCTTCATTCAAAGAGCCAACACTTCACCAACCTCGGGTAATCACATTAACAGTTCTAGCCAAACTGGCAGAGCTTCTTACCTGAAGTTTTTTTTTTTTCATCATCTCCCATTTTAAACCAATCACCAACAGCTTCCACTCCAGCTCTGATCCACGGTCCTCGCCCATAACAGAGACTGATGAAAGTGTGGGCGTTGTACTATTATCAACGGGACCTTTTTAATCTATTCTGCACTTGGGTAAATGTTACATGCATGAAAGCTGTATGTTTCAGAACCGAACATTAATTGGTTCACTTGTATCTCTCGCAGGAACGCTGAGCAAATGTAATCTAAACCTTTCTTTCCATACATTTGTAATGGGACATGCATTTCAGCAGAATTCCAAACACGTTAGCTGACAAAGTGAGGCGTCGTGCTGAATCATGAAGCGCGACGTGTCTGTGATATTATTGTAATAAAGGGGAAAGAACCCACTCGGTCTGAATACAAATCAATTGAAAACCTTAGACATTCTCAATGACACGTTTATATCTATATTTACAGAAGTGAAGGACCGTGGTACAGAAGAAGTTGTGAGGCACATTTGAAAAATATTTTTTATATTTAAAATATATTGTTTTTCCTTTCTTTTTCTTACTATTCAGTCTATTCAACCTCTGCCGTTTATTACTGCAACATGACAATTTCCTAAGTGTGGGATCTAATTTAATCTAATGTAATCTAATAATAAAGTACCAGGACAGTGTATTTACAAATCCTCAATATAAGTCTTTTTAAATCCCATTTTTTATGTACCTAAATGTACTCTTGTATGTTTTCCCAGCAATCTTTGAATGGTACTACTGCCACCTACTGGGTGTGTTGTAACAGTGGCAATGTTAATTTTGACAATCTGTAATTTTTACACTGATTTACAAAAAAAAATCATATATTAATATGACTAATGTCACTTTAATTATACTAGTGAATACGTTTGCATAATATCTCTGGTGTAGGTGAGAATTAACGACAGATTAAGGCAGTGAGTGGGCGGTGTGACACTGACAGTGTTTCGTTCATAAAAATAAAAAGATAAAGACATTTTTGAAATATAGCTGCTGCCATAGTGTTTCTAAGACAGAGGAAATGGCATAAAAGAAAAGTAAATTCTCACTTTAAAAAAAGAGATTTTTTTTTTTTATCTGAGGTTCAGTGCGACAGACTGATGGAAAACAGGCTGAGCCTCCACGGTTGGTAGATTTAAGGCTTGAGGCTCTGAGCAGTGAACTGCACACAGGAGTGAACAATTTGTCAAGGAGCAAAGGAGGAGTAAAGATATATACAGCTGGGGATGGAGAGGCGGAGATGGAGAAGCCCCGCCCAATAGACACACATACACAGTAAAAAGACAAAAACAGTAAAAGACTGAAATATCTGTCAGAGTCGTGACAAGAAGCAGACAGTTTAGTCCATTACATGCAGTTTAATTGCAGTGATTAAGGAATCAGGGTGGAGATTTACAAGAGGAATGAAGGTCTAAGTCAATATTGACTGACAGGTCTTTGGAGAAATTCATCACATGGTGGGTGAAGAATAATCTTTACTCCTCCATCGATCACCCCGAGACATGTCACAAGTGATTTTGACATTTTCAACATGACAAAGAAACCCATAATTGGAGCAGCTTTGGTTCCTGTATGTGTTCTCCCCATAATAAATGAAAGCGGTCCATCTCAGCCGCTGTAGCTGCCAGGTCACAAATGACTGTGTTATTTTTAAAAAACCAACCTGAAGGTGCCATCAGTCTGGAGGCGGGATATAAAGGCTATTGATTTGTTACCACTGAGTGATCGGAGAGGGATCAGGGCAGCTTTTCTATTTGCAGGACACTATTTATTTTCAGTGAATGATAATAAACTGCTCCTGCCTAAGTGTGAAATTTGACAGCAACAGCTGTGTCACCCCTGGAGAGAAGGTGTGAATTGGATTGCTTCTCATCATCTCGTCTGCTCTGTTCCTGCGGATGCTAGTGGTTGGCTGTGTGGTGACGCCTGGCTAATGTGATTGACTGCTCTTGTGTCTGTTGACTAATGTAATTGTCTGAGCTATTTTAGTGAGGGCATGATCAGTGGGATTGGCCGCAGTGGCCTCTCATTCACGCCTGGATCCAGTCGGCTCCTCTGCGTATACCGACGTAACGGGATCTGAAGGTGGCGCTGCTGCAGCCAAAGACAACCGTGGCTTTCATGATTGTCTTTGTGCTTGTATCAAAGAAACAAAAAAAATCCCATTTCCTGATAAGACAATATATAGACGTAATATATACTGTTTATTTAATTATAGAAATGAATATATTAAAATGCTCTTTTATCTCTAAATAAATGCGTGGTCATCTTTAATTTCCTTCCTAGCATCATATCTTGCGCATGCTGGGACACGGTGCCGCCT